ACTAGTTGTTGACCAGTACCTGAAAAAGAACAGCGACATTAATCAACTGCATAACCCAGAGGCAATAAATACCATGAAACAGCCCGAAACTTCCAGTGGTAGTGGTTACAGTAGTCCTCACCTAGTAGTTATATCTTTAAATAATAGTGCTTTCTTTTCATCTCGAATTCGTTTTGAGCCTCACTTTTCTTCCGATCAACGGCGTCACTTTTATGCAGGAGAATGGCCTCCTTATCTGATTAACTCAGAGACCTATAATTACTTTGTATATAACATGCAATGTGCCTTTAGCCATTGCATACCGGGACTGTGTCACTAGAAGTCCTTTTCACGGGGTATGTATGGGTGTTTTGATCAAGACGACTAAAAGGAGAGATACAGCAAGCTTCAACCAAAGAAGCTGTTTGAACTTGGGCCTTTTGGTCAGGTACTCCGTGGTTATAAGTATTCTAATTCTTGTTAGAAAGGGAGAGCTCTTGCCGATACAGTTCTCGGGCTTTCTCTCTCTCTGAAACAGGCGTTGTGTCAAATAGACCCATTCTAATCGTACGTTGCCATACTTATTTTTAGTAAAGATATGCTTCACCCATCGACGACTCTGCAAAGGACTGTACTGACGAGCCCGTAACACGGCCCGTAGACACCAGGGAAAACATATCTAGATGTATGACCTCAGTTGTTGCAACAAACTCGACTAGTATACGGTGTTTTAGTTCTTTATAAACATAGCCCTGCTTTAACGGCTTTGGATGTGATGTGACCTGTCTGCCATTTAGCTTCATGGGCCTTCAGACTCCGTCTAATCGCCATAGGTCCGGCAAGGGTATGGGTTTGCACGAACTCTAGTTCCGCCAGTTGCTTAAGCTTGACTTGAAACAGCATAGTCTGGTAGCAGAGAATGGATGTGTATGGGTGACAACAGCATGTCGCGCGCTCTGATACACTGGTATTTACAGTGGATGCCTTGTGTTGCATCGACCGTACCCCTTGTGCGCCAATGAGATTTTTTTAGAGTGAGACAGGATATGTTGAGCTTTTGTGAATCACACTCCTTCATCAATGCCTTAAATCAATAGAAATACAGAAGAAGGTAGCACGCAAACGAAAAAGGAAACGTAAAGAAAAAAGAGGAGGCAAATGGTATCTCGTAACGAAACTGTTCCGCATAGCCCAGGCATTACATCGTCAAAGAAGAGCTGACCATGGCGTTCATGAGGGAAGATAGTGTAGAACTGCCTGCAATTCTTCATGCTAAATAATCCATAGTCGTAACAAGAGGGTTTCTGGGCTTTGAGGTTAGCCTTGGAACTAAGTATGCGAAGTAGACTGGCAACTGACCGGGAAGACGGAAGAATTACTATAGAAAGCAACAACGGTGGCTTTCGACCAAAAAATCGGATATCGTCCAGAATGGCTGCAATGCACAACTGGCTATAAAAGAGGTTCGTCGAATGTTCGTTTTCAACGTTTGCAGATCCGACATTGGCCAACAACCACTATAAACCGCTCGTGAGGGCTCCCGGGACATCTGAGGTCCCCTGAGCCATCGGTAGAGATGCGGAAGAAATGGTTCCCTGGGTCCCGGCACGAGCTATAAACGTAGAAGTTCTTGAAAAAGTTGCACATGTTGAAGAGACCAACCACCAGTGGAATGGGTTGATTTCTTGGTTTAGATATCAGTGGAGACAGGGTCTCTTTGAAACAAGGATTGTTGATAAAGTGAATGATAGCTGGAACTGCTCAGTAGTTGACCGGAAGGAAGGTGGCGGACGGGACTTGTCGAGATAAAGAGGTCAGCGGAAAGGACTTGATATTATAGCTTAATCTGATGAGAATGAACCAGTGCGCGTCATGGAACGTCCGGCAAAAACAGCGGGTATTTTGGTTGGATGTGTGGTTTAACTTTCAAAGTTAACTGGGACACCAGGGGAAGAGTTATGGTATATAGATAGATGGGTAACGAGGGTTGTCAATGATAGAGAGAAAAGAGAAAAAGGGGCAGTGAAGGATCTAGATAAAAAGAGTGGAAGTGTGAGAGGATCATGGCGACAGTAATAATGGAAGAGTTGAAGCGCCTAATATATCATCGCTTGAAACATACAATAAAACGAAGGGTATATATGTGAACAAGTATATGATTGAAGCACGAAACTGAGCTGTTCCGAGATAAGCTCCTTTTTTAGATTGAAGGGAAGAACTTAGTTGATTCATCACGTTCTACCCTCTCGGCGATCTGAGCCAGGATGTTGGAGATCCTGGGAAAATCAAAATTGACCCTATTTGGACATGCTTGGTGCTGTCCGTATTTGTTTTAAAATTTGATGCTACCCTTTAGCGAGAGGAAGCAAGGAGAATTGAGAAACAGGATAGAAGCTTGGATAGAGCTTGGCCCTAACTGAAAGTGATAATCCCGCAAGTGGAGAGACGCTAAGTGATGGAGAAATCGTCAGGAGGGCCTTCCGTCAACGTGGTAGATCTGCATATGTAAGTATGTCGTAAGCTCTTTCATTCAAAGCTGGAATTTATCGCAAAGAAAGAAAAATTAACTGTTCAAGTCAACGGGAGGAACTGGGGGTTCCCATGCGTATACACTCCCCAAGGGGAGAAAGTTACGATGGTATGGGGGAATGGCCTCGCAGAGGCCATCATCAAAATGTCCCGGTATGCCATGCAGGTTGGTGTCCCGCTTTAAGGCGTCTGCCATTCCTCGCTGTCCGAAGGATGAATGCTGAATGGCCGAAAGGCGAAATCATGCATCAGGAATAAGGTAGTCCAGCCAATTGAGCCCGGCTTGGCGAGTGGTAATATAATTTTAACAAAGAAAAACTTCCGGGCGGATTGGAATTAAAACGTATCCAATATAGGGGAAGGATTATCTACAGTCAGTGAGCACGTATAGACGTAAGAATCTGTCTAGACTTAGAAAGAAGAGATTAGAACCTTGTTCTGGTTCTGAATGGAATCTCGAGGCGTATAGCGGGTGGACAATCTCCGAGGAAGCTGAGCCCTGAAGCCTTCCGATCAGGCCACGGTCGGGTGTATTTGTATGGTATCAAGAGTAAGAAAACATTGCCTAGGGTGGTAAAAAGGACCACACCAGTAATAATCAAGTCCAGACTTGACTCAGGAGGGTGTGTTTTAGGTTATTGCTCTGGGTTTCCGCGGTTAGTGGGGGTAACCATGACGTGTGGTGAAAGAAATGTATAGGTGTTGTATGGGTGGATGATAGATTAGAGAGGGGGCGACTAGGAATGGCTTTCTAAAGATGAAAGGCACTAAGATTTCAAATCCTAGAACCTGGCGATAGACGGCATCCCCGAACGCCATCTGGATCCTCAGGAACGTTGATGTTATAGCCATGGTCTGAATAGGAAGGACGGAGGCAACATAAGTTGCGTATGAGATAGCCGGAATGCTGAGTGTGTCGGCCAAGAGAAGATCGTTGAATATACACGGGAGAGATATGAACCAGACAAGAAACGGAGTACACAGAGAGACATAGTGAGGGTGTGGCGCCTGGGGGTACCAACTCTAGGCTGGCCGAGAAGCGCTCGGGGCGTTTGATATCCAGTTTTCTGTGTCTGCATCTTGGATGCGGGTCTTGTCGGGGTGTGCGGCATGTCATTCATCCCATGAGTGTGAAGGGATACCCATGTATAGTTCTCGAGTAGCAGCAGGCTAGGTTGCTAGTACCTTTGCATCAAGATCGCGATGCCAAAGAGTGTGATGGTTGTTGTTTCGTTTGATTTGAAGTTGGAGTTTGAGCAGAGAAAATCAGACCGATGGCTGCAGCTAACTGCTAGTTAACTGTTTGACAATAATCACCAAGGCCGCTGGCCCCCCTGTTTCAACCGCCAGGCATCTCAAATCGACATTCTTCGTGGCCCCCAGCAGCCAGCGCTTGAAGCAGGCAGGGCAACTGGTCAACCAGCGCAACGGCCGCCCTCCATCCTCCCATTTGCCTAGCTCGCCGCTGCCAATGCATGAATTTGTGTTAGAGTTTCCTGGTCTCCAACGATCCAGCAAGTCCTGGAAGCCAGTTTGCATGTTAAATAGCTACTAGCAACCCCCCGGAGCGGTGGTGTTCATGGTGGAAAGGAGGATATAAGTATTAACCAACAGACGACCGTCGAAGGACGAGGCCCACGACCAACGCATCAACCAGCACCGGACGTCGACCTCCACGATGGCGGATGCGAGTCTCCAGCCGCCGGCCGATCCGTATGGCGATACCCTCGAGACGCTGTGGCAGCGGTCGAAAAAGAAACTTGCGCTTACGAAGAATGATTCCAAAGAGCCACCCGGTAAGTCGCAGGCATCCCTCCCTCGAAACAAGCACCATTTGGAATCCAGATGCATGACCGCGTCGCCTTCTTAACCACGTTTCCCGCCTCATGCTGGGGCTTGCTCTCCTTTTGCGTCGGTTGCGCTGCTCGCCCCCTTCGTCACTCTGCGCCTTGCGGTCCCCGGAGCCTCCCATTCGTCATGCTGTCTCGGAGCGTGCATGATGATCTCACATAGGACTCGTTACTCCATACCGTAGGCTTCCCCAGGAGGTGTATTCCGCGCTTGACTGACTGGCCGAGGGAGGAGGGAAGGGGGGGGCGCGGGAGGCGGGAGTGGTGGTGAGATGGATCGCGGCATCTGTTTGGTACAAAGAAATTATACCCCCTATATAGCCTCCTGGGCGGCTGTTGAGATATCTCTTCCCCCCAGCATGCCTCTCAGCGGCGGTGTCTTCCATGCTGTCTGATACCGTCACCTACCCCCCGATTGCCCTGACGGCAAGCAGTAAGATAGTTGCTAAAGCTGTATCCTGCTCAGATTCGGCCACTATTGAGGACGAGAGCGCGGCGCTGGCGAAGGCGGCGCACGAGCGACGGCGGGACCAGGTCCGGAGGGCCCAGCGGTGGGTTCATTTCCGTTTTCATATAGTGCTCCTTTCTTGATGTCGTGATTAGTTGCTGTTATGGTTATTGTTGCTGCCGTTGCTGTTGATGATGATGATATCCGGGCTCCATCTAAGACTGTCCTGTTTCTTCTTTACATATAGCAAACACCGCGAGCGCAAGGAGAAGTATATAAAGTCCCTCGAACAGGAGCTGCTTCGTCTTCGGCACGAGCGAGAGTCTGTCTCGAGTGATATCAACCGATTCACGTCGGAAAACAGCCTCCTTCGAGAAATCATGCGGGCACACGGTATCCAGATGCCACAGACGAGGCCGCGAGACCGGCTGGCCAAGGTCACTGTCGTCGGCGAGCCTGGCTTCGGCCAGCGCCTGCAGGTCTCCCTTGACGAAGGGGAGGACAAGATACCCAATTTCTACCCAGAAGGCTTCGGAGTGTCCTTCACTCAGAAAGTCCTGCACAAGGCAGCAGACCTCTTCACCTCGCCGCAGATTGAAGACCAGATTGCGCCGGATGAGCCTCGACCAGAGCATTTCAACGCCGACCTTCAGATACGGCCGAAGAACGACCCAGGCGGATGGGGATATGAACCCCCAGTTGCCGTACAATCCCATCCGTACCATTTTGATTCGACCCAGGTGGCAGTTGATTTTGTTTTATTGTAAGGCCGTCTATCCCCCCCCCCTTTTTCTGACTTGCCCACCACTGTTTTATCAGTCACTTCTCCTCTCTAACTCAAGCCCTTTCTATCTACTTAGTCTTGAGCGTTGCTGTTTACGCCACCGTATGCTTGGGAAGCAGGGATTCTCAGGACATGCGCTCACCCTCCAGGCGCCACTGCTTGTTGGAACCCCTCCGGTTCTTCAGAACCAGTCTACGTGGGAAGTACCTGCTAGCGAGATCGAGAGGCTGTTTGAGCTTGCAGGGGCTCTGAACCTGGACGGTGAGATCACACCGGTGCAGGCGTGGCGGCTTATTAGCGACCACCCTAAGTTCTACAAGTTGGATCCCGCAGGTTTACAGAAGATAAGCGAAGGGCTTGTCAGAAACATCCATTGTTTTGGGTAAGTATTTGCTGTTTTGGTGCCCTTAACTGTCACCCTGCTAACTACTTCTTGCAGATTCGGGGCTATCTTGGACGAACAGACATCCATCAATATCGTGGAGAAAGTCTATGCTTCGTTATAACTTGCGATGCTGTCCGGACGTCGAGGAGGCTACAAGCGTTAGGAATCTGATATATAATACCTGCTGGCACATAGGCGTATGTTTAAAGATTGTTTTATTCCATAGCCATCGAAGAATGAATAATATGAACCCTTTTTCCCACTCGGAGTCTAGGCCGATATCCACTGTCCAGGAAATTAAAATTCCAGAAGGTTATGGAGTACCTTCTTAGAGATCTAGCTTTGCAAGCCGCTTGGATTCAACCTTGGTTGCGAGGCCAAGAACCTGCTGGAATCGGCTGAATCCTTCTAGCTCTTTATACGAGTCGTTGTCGCCGACATCCCGCCAGCCTGTGAATGAGACAAACTCCTCTAACTCCGGCTCTCCGTCTGCAATAATGACTGCTTCCTTGCCTTCGATCTTTCGCTCTCCATCAATACGCCAGCCGCTTCGAACCAGGTATGGAGCTGTGACTTCTTTCAGATAAGGGGAAACCCTCTCTTCCCAGGCCCTGGTAAACTCCTCCTTCTGGGCAGGAAGCATATGAAACCATTCCAGTGTTACCACTGGTGCACCTGACGGAAGCCCCGATTCCTGCTGGTCGATATCAAGGTGTGCCAGGCCCGCAATGTCAAATAGATCCTTGCCGCTCTCCAGCAGGCCCTGGTTCGCATCAGATGGTATCCAGTCGTCGTAGTGCTGCGTCAGGCTCTCCCAGTTGCCGACGATATAGACACATGCCGGATCCTCGAGCTGGGTAAAGATGTAGAACGGATACCCCGTGTAGGCTTCCATGCTCTCTTTGGCGGTGCGAAGAAATGCTATGGTCGCCTCGTTGGGCTTGCCGGTGGTCATCAAGGCTGCCGGCCGCAGCTTTAGAATGGCAATCTCGGTAATGGCCATATCTCCTGGTTGTACTACTGTCGTGCTCTGTAGACAAGGCTTCACCAGTTGTAATCGACAGTATCACCGACAGATAGATGGATTGTTAACTTGTTGTTGCTTATTGGTGAAGGCTGTCGAATCTCGCTGGATCGCATATAGGAAAGAAGCCTTTCTTGCGGGCCCCTACCCAGGCAGCCATGCCTTACGCAAACCAAAGTATTTCCCCCTTAACTAGCCATCCAAGAAGCGATAAAACGTGATAAAATAACATTAATTATACTTAGGTAGCGCCCGCGCCCTTCGTAAATAAAGTAGATATATAGAAACTCGACGGATGTTTTGCGGCGGAGTTGGGATTAGTCAGCTAACGGACGAAGTGTCGGATGAAATAGCTTAGTCATCAATATCGCCAATCTTCCGACTTTTTGTCCGCATAAAAAGCTTGAGGTCGTCGATTTCTTCGACTCCCGTCTCTGCTTTATAACGTTATCTCCATCGCTGGAGACAAACCTTTGCCTAGCGGCTGCGGTTATGGAGCTTGGAGTTATGGAGCCTCTCGTTATGTCCATGCGGTCAAGTTTCAACGGCCCAATGATGGCTGATCTTCATGTGCGGCTGGCCTGTATGTCTTTAATCATTATGACTCAAACACAGGGTTCGGGTGAATCCTCCTGGGGCTGATTCGAGAAGATAATAATACCCATCGACGGACGAACTCTTACCCCCTAATTCCGGCTGAATTGCTCATACTGACACGTTGTGGGCAAAGCGGCTCATCATGCTTGAAACGGGGATACGGCGACAAGACGGAGCGATGTTGTACCCGAAAGAACTAGTTCTTCCCCTGGCATTCCTTTTCCTACGATAATGATTCAGGTATCATTATCCTTTTCTTTTTTTCCGACGTCATTACGGAGCTTCATGGCATGAGCTTCATGCGCCTCAGCCGGCTCTGGTTGGCTGCCGATCGGCCAGCCAAAAAGGATTGTTTGTTCCAAGGCTGAAGAGATGGAGCAGTCATTTGGATATAAAGATCTGCTGAAATTCTGTTTCGGAGATGGCTTTTGATACCTTAACTCTTTTAATCCAGATACTATCCTCAGTTATATTCATATAGCCTTATCACAACCCCTTCTCTATTTCGGGTTGGCTCCAATTCATCCACAATTCCTTTTTTTGTTAATACGAACAACCAACACCTATACACAAAAGTCGCAGAGTCCACGGCTCAGCATGCTCTCAACATCAGAGACCGAAAGGTCGACGCCTCAACGGCCTCTATCAACAGCATCAGATCATACGACTCGAGTAGATGGAAGCAGTCTTCCCAAAGGATCTCACAACCCTTCATCGACCTCATTTCAGATAGTTGCCGAGAAGTCCGGCGCCCCGACTGGAGATAGCACACCCTCTAACGAAGCTGAAGATGGAACAGAATACCCAGGAAAATTTGCTCTTTCTTTCATCGTCGTGGCTCTCATCCTTGCTATCTTCCTAATTGCCTTGGACATGACCATTGTTGCTACTGCAATCCCTACAATTACTGCCCAGTTCAAATCGTTAGATCAAGTGGGCTGGTACGGATCGGCGTTTTTCCTGACTGTGGCTTCGTTCCAGTCCACATGGGGGAAAGCGTTTAAATACTTCCCACTGAAGACAGTCTTTATGCTTGCTATCTTTGTCTTTGAAATCGGTTCCTTGATTTGTGCTGTCGCGAATAACAGCACCACCTTGATTGTTGGTCGAGCTATTGCAGGCGCCGGCGCTTCCGGCCTCACTGGTGGTGTTTACACGATCATTGGATTCTCAGTGCCACCTCAACAACGTCCTGCTTTCACAGGTATACTTGGAGCAACTTATGGTGTGGCCAGTGCAATTGGTCCTCTTCTTGGTGGCGTTTTCACCGACAAGGTATCCTGGCGATGGTGCTTCTACATCAACCTCCCGGTCGGAGGTATTAGCGCCGCCATCATTCTATTCTTCTTCACTGCCCCGCCAGCTTCTAGACCAGTCAAGGCCCCTATGCGTGAGAAACTATTGCAGATGGACCTGGTTGGAACATTCACAATCATGGCAGGCGTGGTCAGCTTTCTCCTAGCTATGCAATGGGGAGGGACCACCAAAAAGTGGTCGGACTCGACCGTCATCGGTACCCTGGTTGTTTTTGGACTGCTAGTCATCTGTTTTATTGTGAACGAATGGTGGATGGGCGACCGAGCACTCCTTCCCCCACGTTTGTTCAAGACATGGAACATCAGGATCAGTTCCATCTACATCTTCTTTTTCGCTGGTCCATTCTTCGTTTTGATTTACTACCCTCCCATCTATTTCCAGGCAATCAAGCATACCTCAGCTTCCGATTCTGGAATCCGAAATCTGCCATTCGTACTGGCAGTCAGTATATTTTCCACACTCTCTGGTGGTCTCATTGCGACATTTGGCCACTTCAGCTACCTTATGGTTCTTGGGTCTATCATGCTCACCGTCGGCTCAGGCCTCGTCTATACCTTTGGGCTTGATACACCATCAAGCACTTGGATCGGGTACCAAATTCTCGCCGGTATTGGAGGAGGCCTTGCCCTTCAGATCCCAGTCATTATCAGCCAAGCTCTGGTAAAACCTGAGGACCTCTCCAGCGCGACTGCGATGATTCTCTTCCTCCAGACCATGGGGGCTGCGATCTGGGTGTCTGCAGCTCAAACCGCGTTTGTGAACAAGTTAATCAAAAGGCTTCCTGAGGTGGCTCCGCGTGTGAACCCGGGCCTAGTGATCAAAACTGGAGCTTCGGAGCTACACAAAGTGTTCTCTGGAAAGGATCTCGAGGGAGTTCTTATTGCGTACGGCGATGGCTTGAAGATCACCTTCATTGTCTGCATAGCTCTTGCTGGCGTTTCTGTTTTCGCTGCTGCTTTGATCAAGCCCCTTAACCTGAATAAGCTGCAGAACAAGAACGCAGTCGGATTTGCTTGATATCCCCGACCTGGTTTTCTTTCTTCTCTCATAAGCATTTTTTTCATCTCTCCTCTTTTTGTGTTAATGCGGTTATGACTTATGTACATGATACAATAGCGAAAGTGTACTGGCGGTATATACCATATACATACATGATATTGATAGAATACATTTCCTATAGTCGGTACCTGAACCATATGGTCACTCTGTCCTCCCTGTCGCGGCAGTAATGGTTTTCAAGTTGATGATATAGATAAAAACGAGTTAAGCTTAACTAACTTTAACTCAAAAGTCTAAGTGGAAAACAAAGGCAATTAAAGTTTTAAGCAGGAAAGGCTAAAAATGATTAATAATTAATATCGATTAGTCATGCGCTCTCGGGGTTAACGCAATTCAGCTCCGTCTTCCTTGATTAAAAGAAAGCAAAAGCCGCCACATCGCGGCCTCTGCAGTTACTTACGCTGTTGCCTGCTTGTTTGGACGGTTGACCTGCCTAACACTGGCATTCGTTCTGACATATCTGCTGGGCCGTAACTATGGAGCCATTTCGTCGAGCTCTCTCCGGTGACACGGATGCGTCACTGCACGACCAGGAGCCGCAGCGCAAGAAAATGCGCAAAGGAACAAAGAGCTGCTATGAATGTGCGTTCGTTCTACTCTGACTTTGACCTCCGCTCTACAGATGAGACGTAAAAGCCATGCCATTTGGATCATCCTATTAATGCCGTGCTAGGCCGGCGTCGAAAGATTCGCTGCACCTATGCGCCCACTCGGCCTGGGATATGCAATGAGTGCCACGCGCGAGGCTCTTCCTGTATCGATCAGGAACATGCGCCCCTGCGGCCGGAAGCTGCAAAGCTCCGTATAGGAGACCAGAGCTACAGCCTGAGGGAGCGGGTAGCTGCTTTAGAGCACACCGTGAGCAAGCTGGTGAAACAAATGGATGAAAGTGACAAGGGTAGATCTAAAGAGGCCGCAAGCTGGTCATACATGGAGTCCCCCACAGATAGCATTGATCGAGGTCGGTACTAGCGGATATCCAAAAGCCCTTGCTTTTGATTGTTTGACCTAACGTTTTAAACTAGATACAAAGAGCCTGTCCAATTGTCAGCCTGAAACGGTGCCGGAAGCCATACCAGTTCGCTCCAAATCGATGGACCAAGGAAGCACTGGGCCCGGCGCTGCTCCCCTTTTGACCTTGTTCGATAATCACATCCTTTCTCGAGATGAGAAGCATGTGGATTTAGAAACTTCCAAAACCGCCGATCCAATAACTCTGAAAGAAAGACGTGCAGTTCTTGCACTGAGAGAACTCTTGCCTTCTCCTGTGCAGCTTAAAAGACTAATAAATTCTCCGGCAATTATATGGACCATATGGCGCGCAAGATTTCCAGAAATACTAAAACCTGAAGCTCTCGAAAACCCTGGTGATATTGGAAAGATCCTGTACTGCATCATCATGACCCTTGAACAACGTGCGGTAGAGTTCGACTTTCAATCCCTCAGGGTTCCGGTACCTAAGGAAAAGTACGTGGAACAATGTGTTGCTGCTGTCCAGAAGTATGTTATCGAAGATGATGACATTGCTTCATCTCTATCTGGTATAGAGTGTATTTATATGGCAGGAAAATATGAAAGCAACATCGGTCGGCCACGAAAAACATGGCTACTGACGCGCCGGGCTATAAATTTTGCCCAGCTATCCGGTCTCCATCTTCCGAACAATCGCCCTGGGCCAGATGATGAACTCGGACTTCGCAAGCTTCATATATGGTGTGGCCTCGCATGCTCAGACCTATACCAGAGCTCAATTCTTGGGCTACCCTATTCTGTGCCGACTCATCTCTTGAAGCCTCATATCACACATTTACTGAAGGTTAAAAAGATGGATCCTGCAGAAGCATATATGTTGCGTGTTTGCCTTCCATTGGGATCTATAATTGATAGAAACCAAGACGGAGGCAATATGTCTCTTCCTCTTACCCTGAAAATCGACCAAGAGTTAGAGGACATGGGTAAACAGATGGGAGACGATTGGTGGGATTCATCCCAGTTAGGGCAGCTTAGCCCCATAGAAAAGAGCAGTCGACTTTGGTCACAATTTGCCCACCATTTCGTGAGGATGTTGCTGCACCTACCATTCATGCTGAAATCCAACACTGACAAGCGCTGTCAATATTGTCATAATGCTGCTCTTGAATCAGCGAGACAAACCATCGAGTGTTATAAGGGCATTTATGACATTCGCAATTCCGACCGTATATTTTGCAAAGTGATTGATTTCCAGGTTTTTACATCTACAGTTCTCCTTATCGTTCACTTGCTCGGCTCCCCTTTCGCCGATGATCCACAGACTCGTGCCGACTGGAGGTCAGCCATGTCCATTGCTCGAATGCTTCGCCATGACCCAGACCTGCCCGAGGACTCCGTTAGCTATCAATCTGCGAGTGTCATTGAGAAATTATGCTCTTGTCGAGATGCTGATGGGGCTCTGAGGACTGGATTCAAAAGCAAAAACTGCAACCAAGCTCGAAGGATTATACTTCCATATTTCGGAGCTGTCAGCATTGTTCCTGGTAAGATGCTGAAGGAGCAGCAACTACAACAGCAGCAGCAACAGCAGCAGCAACAACAACATCAGCACAATATGCAACAACAATATCAGTACACGCAACAGCAACAAATGAGCCCTCCGAATTCTATACCTGAGAAACAGAATTCTACAAACTCAAGCGGGTATACCACACCTCAGGATACACCTTCGATGTCACTATTTAATACCCAACTCCAGACTCCCAGTCAATCATCGTCATCATCATATCTACAAAATGGCGCCCCATTACCCGAACCAAACCTTGATGTGAACTTAAATCTCAACCTGATGGATGACACTGGAGGGTTTGGTAACCCCAATCTAAACTTGGATCTCTTTCTTGGACAAGGGTGGAATTTCGAATGGATGGATGCACAGAACTTCCAGCCCGTCTGATAATATCGCATGGAATATGGAATATGAGCCGTAATTTTCTCTTCTTCTTCTTCTTCTTCTTTTTTTTCTCTTATTCAGAGGGATAATTTCACATTTTTATGGAAGTTGGGATATTTTGTATATTATCTTGAGCATATTAGTTTATGGTACATGCGTTGCCCAGCCAATCCTTCTCGGCATATCGTCTCCCAATCCTCGATATCCGAAGCTGTTCATAGATGACACGATACCAAAAACACCGATGTCTTCAGCTAGCCGAATACCAGGCTAGAGGGTCCCTTCAAATGTCAAAACAGCCAGGAAGATAGCCGCCCAGGCGGGAAAATCAGCAACGGTCCATCTGATTCTGTGTACGCTCAGCCAGTCTTCCATCTCAGCAGAACCACCTCGCTTTGACGTGTTTGTCCTTAGGCGTTCAATTGGAGGGGCAACCCATGGGATGAAGGTCAAGTGGCCCAATGCACAAGTCACTCCCAAAGCATACATTTTGGCACTAAATGGCAGGGCCATGATACCCTCTGTGATGGGTAGGTCGTTGTTGTATGAGAGGTAGATATTGGCTATGGATGTGGATGAGGTTATGGCGATAAGTCCAACGACGACCGTAACGCCGCTTTGGAAGACTGTGTTAAACCAGCGGGGAAGAACGACATCGGCTTCTCTCCGAATTGTTGGATGGAGGAAGGCAGAGTTCATAATGAGTTCGCAAGTCGAGTACATTACGCTCCCTGTACTACTGATGAGAGGCGCAAGGCGAAGGAGACGCATTGGATCGAACAGCATTCCTGAAGCCATTTTGGTTGTCTGGCCGGCGAGAGAATCAGCTGGGGGAGGGAACGGAAGGTTAGGGTATAGAGTGGAAAATTGGGAAAAGTGTTTCCAAAAATTCCAACAAGCTAAATTCGAGAGGGTATTGGAGATTTATATCCTAGATTATTTATCAAGTGCATACGGAGTACAAAATTAGTATCCGCTGCTGGAAGGATATACCCATGCTGCATCAGTTGTCAAGCCTGGAAAAATTCTCCGATGATCATCGGGGTTAATACGTCGATGCATTTCTACATCCCGATCTATGTTCTCAGATACCTCTCCATATAGCGCAGGGCGATTAATTGAATAGCTGAGCCTACAAATGCCTACCTTCTTAGAAGTAGCAGTATGCCCATTTACCTCTAATTGTTTCCCAATAGAGGCAACAGACCCCCTGATGTCATTCTTCGATACTGATTGGCTGGAGCTCCGAAAGCCGAGGCTTATGTAATCATATAAATTAATTTCCTCGAGTGCCGCTTAGGTAAGATACTTCCCTTAATCACGTGCACCAGCTGCCTGGCTTCATGTTTCTTCAAACATCGCTTTCATAAATCTATGTTGATGTCGAATTAATGAAGTACTTTTACGAGTGACTGTGATGCATTGACATGATCTTTACGGAGTACTCCATACATCACTATCAAGGTTCCCCGTCCCAATAATATTAATAATAATAATAATGGCCCTCTTGCACGCTGTTCACAAGCTTGCCACGACCATGATTTTTACTGACCCACCACGGCCCTTTGGCCCATAACCCGAACTCTCGGACCTGGAGAACAGAAAAATTTAAAAAGAAGAAAAAGGCCATGGTAGTGGCTCTCGGCTTGCGGCAACGAGTCATGCCTGGCTGTACTTGCCTATTTCAGCATCCCAGGATCTCCCTTCGGCTTCTCCTAGTACTGTTGGTTAGCACTTGACAGCTGTCTGTTAATGCAGCAGTGGAGGTGCCAGTATTAATAATGGCAACGATTTCACAATATTGAATTATCCAAACGATTCGATGACTTGATTTCCCCCTTTGGTTTCCCTTGACTCCCTGAGAAGTGTTCAATAATATCTGGTTGCGGCAGACAACACTGAAAATACCCGCAAGAGGTACCTAGTTACCCGGGTCCAGGCCTGGATGACATACTTAGTTGAAAGTGGACTTGCCAAGGCATATTCGACGTTACTGATGATGAAACTCTTTAGCTGCGGAGCACTTTTTTTTATACCCTGGGCTCCTAATCAGTTTCTTGCCATGAGTCGGATTCGGGCCATGCTTATAAATACTCTCCACCTCCAATGTGAGCATGCTGCTTGAAGCAGATTTTTGTTTTTAATCTCTGTCATGATCTCAGGTTTTTGTGGTGCATTCGATGGCATTGAAGAGTCGACGTTGGACATTTCATGTTACACCCCGTTTTTCATATTTTTACACCTTTCTCTATTAAGATCTCATGCTAGTATGTCAAGGCCTTGAGTTTTGATACCATCTTAATAGCAGATTATATATGGGTACCAGAACCAGCATAGACCGGCCAGGTCCGGTTGCATCTGGGTTGACGCCTTTACAAGGCTATGAGAAAGATGATTCTCTATCGAAGCCTGAATACCACGAGGCTAAGACATCTGGACTGAAGCAGAGAGAGGACAGAGACAGTATAGAAGACCCTGTATCTCCTTCTCCTAAGTCAGGCGGGCTACCACAACGGCCCGAAGGATGGAGTGTATGTTATGAATAGGCATTTGCTCCAGATTAAGCTACCAGTTCTAACTCGAATATAGTGGACACTGGCAGTTATTGTACTACTCGCTTCTGCCTTTCTTTATGGCCTGGATACTACCATTGTGGCAGACGTTCAAGCACCAGTGATAGAGCAATTTGGTGCTGTTCAAAAGCTCAGCTGGCTCGGATCCGGTTTTCCCCTTGGATCAGTTGCCACCATTCTTCCAATGTAAGATACCACCCCTATCTTATATTAACACCCAAACACAAGACTAATTAGCTTATAGAGGCGCGCTTTACAATATATTTAGCATTAAAATTATATATATTGCCTCGATCATCTTGTTCGAGGCCGGAAGTGCACTGTGTGGTGCCGCACCAAACATGAATGCACTGATAATAGGGAGAGTAATTGCTGGAATTGGTGGTTCTGGAATGTATCTTGGGCAAGAATCAATACTAATGCTAACAAAATCAACTCTTGTGCTGACAGATACAAGGGTCCTTACATATTTCTCTGTATTTGTCCCAGAGAGGCGCCAGCCGCTTTACGTGAGTACGTCTGGGTTTGTTTGGGGACTCGGTACAGTTATTGGGCCCGTCATAGGAGGCTTATTTGCACATAGTAACGCCACCTGGAGATGGGTATGTTGAACCGTTCCTTGTGTGAATTGTAGATTGCTAACGTGGCTATCAAGGCGTTTTATATCAACCTTGTCCTAGCTGCCGTGAAGGCACCAGTGCTTCTACTCCTGGTTCCTGACTATCTGCCTAAACCCCACAAGGGAGCTCTTCAAAAGCTGAAAGAGTTAGACATCATCGGTATGGTTCTTAACGCCGGGATATATGTTGGATGGGTAATTCCCATGACGTTCGCTTCCACTCTCTGGGGATGGTCCGATAATCGCACAATTGCCTCGTTCGTCGCCTTCGGTGTTATCTTTATTGCATTTGCAATTCAGCAGGGCATTCCTCTCTTCACAACTCTAGAGAGACGTGTTTTTCCTGCCCAGTTCTTGAGACGCACAGTGATGATCCTTTTATACGTCAGCACGTCCTGCACGAATGCCGCTCTTCTCGTCCCTGCCTACTATATACCGCTATTTTTCCAGTTTACCAGAGGTGATAGTCCTGTGGATGCTGCAGTACGTCTCCTTCCTTTGATCGTTCTAGCTATTGTATCGGTTATGGTTCAGGGGATCACTATGCCCCTGGTTGGATACTACGCTCCATACTACACCATAAGTGGTGTCTTGATAGTAATTGGTTCAGCTCTGATGTCGACGGTTGGTGTGGACACTCCAGTTGGCAATATCTATGGCTACAGCATTATTATTGGAATTGGAACCGGACTTGGTGTACAGGCTTCCTATGGAGTTGCAGCCGCGAAAGTCAAGGAAGATGAGGTTCAGCATGCTATTAATTATATCAACTTGGCTCAAATCGGAGCTGAGACCATCTCTCTTACTGTTGCTGGAACTATTTTCCAACAGCTGGCGTTCAAGAATCTTTCCAAATACTTGGCTGGGCGAGGCTATACTTCTGCAGAGCTTATTGCCGCCATTGCTGGGACACAATCCGTCATCCTCCAGAACGGCTCTGAGGAAGTTAGGTCGCTGGCAATCGAGGCTATCGTGGAAGCTATGAAGAAAGTCTACATTTCTATGATTGCAGCTGGAGCCCTTCAGGTGATATGTTCGGTCTTCCTCCCTCGAGAGAAACTCTTCATGAAGTCTGCTGCTGCATAAAAGCAGTTTTTTCTAGAGATACACCACAACATCATAGCAAGAGTATGCGCTGCGGTACCTGACTCTAATCTATCAAACCGTGAGATGGGGACTACCTGGGACAGATGAGGTGCATTAGTTCTTCCCAAGCTCCGTTGGAGGAACCCAGATCCTGCCTCCTGAGGCCGACGATGCTCTTTATCATTTAAGTACTGGCCTGCGTTCATCCTCTTGTCTCACCACCAATCGACTGATGCAGTTTTCAGTGCCTCTCCTGTCCAAACCTCACTCCTACGTGAGTTCTCGGCTTCGGTCAAGCACTGCGACGCAGATATACGGGATAAAAAAGGTATAACTATTTAATACTATCATCTTTCGCAAGCTTTGAAAAGCTACACCATCGTCGTAGTTCCTTATGTCTACTTACAGGTCCTTCGTGTATAGGTAGACCTGACCGCTGGTGTGCCACTGGTGGCTGAAGGCTATGAATATACTAGTTAGAAAGAAGGCCTTCCATCAAGCTAAAGTAACTAGCCAGTCATGCCGTATCTTGACCTTGTCACTCCGTAAGGTCTTCGTCTCGCCCTCGTCATCTGATGGATTCACGCGGTGGCTTTTACTTGTATAGAACTGGCGAAAGAGACGAACGGGGATGATGTCAACACGCCAAGCCAGCCTCCTGATCCAACCGCAGCTGAAATATAACTAAGGGCAAAGGACAGCGTAATCAAACAAAACGACGTCAAGCGCTTTTGAGACCTACAGCCAGCCATCCGCTGGCGCCGACGAGAGACAAATTATATGGAACCAATGCTTCTGCCGTGCTGAGATCTCTTTTGTCGTCACTGAAATCTAGTGTATGTTTGTGCTTTCTTGCGAAGTCTGCCTACCCAGTCGCCTCCTTATTTATGTACTCGACACCAGGCGCAATAGAACAAGAATAGAAACTGACCCTCCATCCCCCTTAGATACAAGAGCCTCTTATCGTTCCCGATCGGCACCGCATACTCCCTATTTCATCCCTCTTGCTTGCGTCTGTGAAGTGACTGCCGGGACAGCCCGCGATCCCAGGTTGAAGGCCTGCTTGCTGAAGTGCGATTGAGTGAGGCTTCATATTTGGATGAGGACTACATCATGACTTCAAATGGGCACTTTTCTTCTGTTGGAGATGTTGACGGAGGGGACTATCAGCATGGAGTCCAGGTAGTGGACGGCGATAAGGAGTTCAAGTACGCCACCACTTTTGTGAAGCAAGAGCACTGTCTACATGTTTTTCGTGCTGGGCGCTCTGTGCGACAACTTGGAAGGACAATGATATACGCACCTTTCGCTATTATTTGATTGCTGACCTTTGAGTGTATACGAACAGTCCGAACCTGTCGAAATATCTGATACACGAGAATGTTACCCCGGCAGGATTTAATTACCACCTTATCTCGGTCTTTGGTTCGCAGTCCACCGGAAAGTCAACCCTCCTAAATACCCTCTTCAAAACAGACTTCAGCGTTATGTCCGAGACCGAGAGACGTCAGACCACAAAGGGAATATGGCTCTCGAAAAATAAACGTACTGCTTCAAATGAAAAAGAGAAGATGGCGGATAACATTTTGGTCATGGATGTCGAAGGGACTGATGGCAGAGAGCGTGGAGAAGACCAGGACTTTGAACGCAAAAGTGCCCTCTTTGCGCTTGCCACGAGTGAGGTGCTTATTGTCAATATCTGGGAGCACCAGGTTGGATTATACCAGGGAGCCAATATGGGTCTCTTAAAAACAGTTTTTGAGGTGAATCTTCAGCTATTCCTCAAAGATACAAAGTATGGTACCCCCCCAACACTACTCCACTTCCACAGAGGATACTGACATTTGGTACCTCTGCTTCATAGATCCACACCCAGGTCTCTACTGTTTTTTGTTATTCGCGATTTTGTGGGGACGACCCCACTTAAGAATTTACAGAATACCCTAATGCAGGATCTCCAACGAATATGGACATCACTTTCCAAACCAGAGGGGACCGAAAATTCTACTATTGAGGATTACTTCGATTTTGCTTTTGCAGGCTTGCCCCATAAGAGTTTCCAGCCGGAAAAATTTGCTGAAGAAGTTGATAAGCTTAGTACTCGATTCAGAGATGGCCACCGTAGCCCTTCCAACCTAGCTGTTAAGGGTACAGCTGCGGAAGACGGCGTATTCCTTCCTGAGTACCATCGACGAATTCCAGCTGATGGTTTTTCTGTTTATGCGGAAGGGATCTGGGAACAAATTGTGAATAATAAGGATCTGGATCTTCCTACTCAACAAGAACTCCTTGCACAATTCCGCTGTGACGAGATTGCACGAGAAGTACTTGTTCTCTTTGATCAAACCATTGGACCGTTTGAAGTGCAACAAGCTGATGCAACTCGATCCGGAATTCCATTAATTCTCGCTGGCCTTGGTGCCGCTATGCGTACAGCTCGGGGGAAAACCATGAACAGTTTCGAAACCGAAGCCAGCCGGTACCACAAGCGTGTTTTCGCAACCAAAAAGTCCGAGTTAGAGGAGAAAATTGATACCCGTCTTAAAGCACTATTTACTGGTCAACTCAGTGCCGCTCACAAGTCTGGCGTTGCCGAATTTAGTGAAGCAGTCAGTTCTGCCGTCAAGGCAGGACAGAAGAAAGGTGCCAGCTATGATTTTGCAGAAATTGTTACCAGGGAAAGGAAGCTCGCAATTGAGAAGTTTGAAAAGGAGGCCGGCACTGTGGTGGTGGAGGGGGCTCCTTGGAGTGATTACAAGCAGGAGCTCTCCCTATACCAAAAGGATCTCGAAAAGATCAGTTCACAGCTAAGAAAGGACGAGATGAGGCGCCTTGCCACTAGAGTTGAACGATGGGTGAGATCTCGGCTGGGTGACTCCATTGATCTTGAATTCAACGCCCTTGGTTCAGGAAGAGGCGGCTCCAGAGCTCCAGAGGACGGAGAAAAACCCAGTGAAAAAACCATTTGGGATAGAATTTGGTCTCTCTTTGTAAACACGGTTTTGGACGCCGAACGAAGATTCACAGAGCGAGCCAAGAGCTTTGATGCAAGCTTGGAGGAAGTTGACGTCGGCCTATGGAGACTGCGACGGAAATCCTGGGGTGTGCTACGTTCTAAGATCGATGAGGAGATGATGGAGGGGAACATTCTCCTTAAATTGCGCGAAAACTTTGAGGATAAATTCCGTTATGACGACCTTGGTGTACCCCGGATCTGGCGACCTACGGATGATATCGAAGGTATCTACACTACTGCCAGGGAATCCACACTTAATTTGATTCCCCTTCTGGCCCGTTTTAGGCTAAACGAAACCTCCGCACCTCCACCGCTGGATAAATGGATCGGTCATATGCCCAGCTCCGCCGGCGCTGCCGATGAAGAAGACCTTGCACCAATTGGTGGCGTTGATGAAGATGACGGCAAGAGCCTGGAAGAAGAGATGACTATGCTCAGTGAAGCTAAAAGACAGGATTTGACTGTTCGATTCAAAAAGGCGGCTGATGGCGTGTACGTTGAAGCAAAAAGAAGCGCCATTGGTGGCATTACTCAAGTGCCATTGTATTTTTACGGCCTTCTCCTAGCTTTGGGCTGGAACGAAATAATCGCCGGTGAGTATTGCTTCTTGCGTCCTTTACTATAAAATTACGACCCGTCAGCTAACCCATCACTTAATAGTCCTTCGGAACCCCATATACTTCTTGTTCCTGCTAGTCATTGGCGTTGGGGCGTATGTCACTTTCAGACTCAATCTCTGGGGCCCTATGATAAACATGGCAGAAGCAGCCTCTCGCCAAGCTGTTGAAGAGGGTAAACGACGACTTCGAGAGTTCCTGGAGTCATCTGAGACCGGACGCCAGGCTATGGCTATGTCTGGGCGCAACAGTACGCATGTTGAAGAATACGAAATGTCATCCAACCTCAAGAGCAAGGGAAGGCGTTCTACTGCGGACGATGATGACGATGACGACGACTTGTAAAGGTACTCTATATAATTTTTTTCTCTTCACCTCGTTTGTCAACCAGGTATATCATCACCATTGGCTTATTTCTCCTTCTTTTCGCTGGTCATATTTATCTTCCAGCTTTCGTTTTCCCCTCCGTCTCCCCTAATGGTCAGTCATCACCCCCACCATTTAATTTTTCTTCTAATTTGCATAAGTGGTTGTGTGTAGGAAAATTGGGAGGAAGGGCCTCGTCTGCGTCTGTAGAGCATCATAGAGTGATTTAAATATAATTTTTTTCAAAAGTATCAGACTTGTCTCCATAACTTTATCGATGCTTGGTTGTGGATAATGAGCTTACTAATCGAAGAAACTTCCGGAGCAAAATAAATCCATTCCGACTTTGCGCCATTGGAAAGTGGCTCGTGCGTATATGACATCCATTTGATGAAGTCACTTCTTTTCGACCTCGAACGTTCGTTGCAACAACTAGAAAAGACCGCCTTGAACCCTCCAACTAAGTCAAGAAAGAGAACGTAAGGCTGAAAATGGGCTCCGTTGTTCTCCCACATCTTACTACAGCCTGGCACGTAGACCAAGCTATTCTCTCCGAGGAGGAGCGTCTAGTTGTCATCAGATTTGGTCGTGACTGGGACAAGGACTGTACGTTTTCCACTGACTGCCTCACCAACATGACTGTCCAAGGCAAAAATAAATCCTAACTTGATACGCAAATCAATATAGGCATGAGGCAGGATGAAGTGCTCTACCGAATCGCCGATCGCGTCAAGAATTTTGCCGTCATCTACCTTTGCGATATCGATCAAGTGCCAGATTTCATCCAAATGTACGAACTGTATGACCCTATGACGATAATGTTCTTCTTCCGCAATAAGCATATGATGTGCGATTTTGGAACCGGAAACAACAACAAACTCAACTGGGTGCTGGAGGATAAGCAAGAGTTGATTGATATCTTTGAGGCGATATATCGCGGTGCGAAAAAAGGAAGAGGTTTGGTAGTAAGCCCAAAAGGTTAGTTGTGGATACCTTTGTTG